GCATGCAGCCGCCGCCCACGGAATCGTTCCCATCGTCAAGCTACTGGCGCTGGAGGACGCCGATATCGATATCAACCAGCGGGACGGCTACGAAAATACTGCGCTTCATTACGTCTCGGAACTTTGGAGTGCTCGCGACTCGGCCGACATCAGGGACACCATCACCAAGCTTCTTGCCCTCGGCGCCGATCTCGAGGCACACAACGAGCGTGGTCACACACCTCTGCTCAACGCTTGTTTCAGGGGTAATTTTGCCGTGGCACACAGGCTGGTGAGCATCGGGGCGAATGCGGAACCCCATCGCAACGTTCGCAAGTTCAGGGACGTCCGCCCCCTGTACTTCTGTACTCTTCCGCGCCACGAGTTCTTTGAGCTTGATCATGCACCCGTCAAGCATGACGAGTTTGAAGGGAACCGGATAGCTCTCATCAGGGCCCTGGCTGAGAGCGGCGCACGGGTGGATGCTCGCTACGATAAGCGTGGACATCGAGATGCAACGGCCTTGATGTTTGCTTGCGAACTTGCAGAGCCCAGGGCCGTTTCTGCCCTTATCCAATGTGGAGCAAATCCCAACGCCCAAGATAGAAGTGGGAGGACGCCGTTCTACTACGCCACTTCGATTCGGGTCGACCACCGTGGAGAGGTCCCGCAGATCGCCTGTGCTCTCCTTCACAGCGGGGCGCGGATGGATCTGGAAGAGGACCCAAACTGCAGCCCCCTGGATTGGGCAGTGATGCAAGTGAGGTGGTCCGAGGACAAGATACTCCATTACATGCTCAAGTTCGCGTCTCAGGTCAACGTGACCAAGCCGAAGCTCAAGGCGGCCATGAGAAAGTGCTCGTCGAGCGGGAATCACAAGGCCTTGAAGCTGCTGATGCACTTCACCCAAAAGTACTACGACATCGCCGATGACGATCTCAAGGATTACTTGAACTTGATCATGGGACAGGCTGATCCGTGGAATCAAGTCGAGACGTTTGAGGTCATCTTGGATTGTGGGCGCCGGGTTCATTCCAACGAGATGCTTCTCTTCATGACTATCCAACGAAAGAACAAAGATCTCAGCATGGCACTGCTGACCAAGCGTTTCGTCTCGGTTAGTGAGCCCAGGTTTCAGTGCAATCAGACTTTTTTACACCTGGCAGCCCAGTGGGGCGAAGGCGAGATTGTGAGGGCTCTACTTGAGAGGGGCGCCGAAGTCAACGTTTTCGATTCGGAACTGAGGACCCCATTATCTATCGCCGTGGCAGAAAACCACTTTGACGTCTCGGTGGCCTTGATGAAGGAGGTTGCTGACCCCCACCTTCGGCCGTCCGATGACTTGCTCAAGGAGATGTTTGGCGAGGACCACGACTGGGACGACGAGGATCAAGACCAGTGGAAGTATATGAAGCGCAATTATCTCACGGCTTTTGATATCGCCATCAGGGACAGCAGAGAATGCATCCTCGACGCGATGCTCACGCGTTTCACACTCCCCGAGATTACAGCCAAAGGCATCAAGTATAGCTACATGCACCGGGCCTGTCTCAACTCCAACACCAGGATACTGGAGTCGATTCTGTGCAGGGAGATCGACGAGGCTGCTGCTGCCCGTTGCCTGTACACTATCCTGCGCGATATCTGGACGAGACGGATAAAGCGGGATCTCTCGTTAAATCACCTCGAGACGGCCAAGCTCCTCATCGACAAGATTGAGAATCTCACGAATCCAGTCTGGGCACTCATTGCTGAGATGGCGTATTACAACGGCCCAGACCCAGAACAGCAGAAGATCCGGGATTTGCTTGTCGATGAGCTGCGGGTCAGCGTCGCCCACGGCCCGGCTGAGCCGCATCTATCTGTGATGCTGATTCAGAGGGGTGGGGATACGGGGTGAACGGCATGGACCTGGGCTGAAAAACAAAAACAACAACAAACAGTATCACCGCTGATATTTTTTTTCTTTATATTTTTCCTTTTCATTGGGTTGCTTGCTGCGGGGATTTGGGAAATGACCTTTTTTGCTGGATTTTGCAATATGGATGGATGATCTTCAAGGAACGACAATAACGGATTTGGGATTGGGAAGGGGTGGGAAATGCACGGGGCTATTATACAGTATAGTACTCACCTACAGTACGTTGTGGATACATGATCCGCTTTTTCCTTTTTGCGTTTGCTGTTTTTAAACGTCAGAATAACCTGACATGTTGCACACGAGTTTACGAAGGATGATGATTTCACATGGGATTCTGATTTGGTAGGTAGAAGAGGTCGGGAAATTATCTGGAATAAGGGCAAGCGTTTTCTAATCTGTGAGATATTCCAGTCAGAAAATATATTTGTGTGTGTTATCTTGAAATGCGGTTGTTCTAAATCTACGCTGCTCTCACTGTTTTATCATCTTTTGCCGATCCAGGCCCAGAGGCGGCAAATCCCTCAAAACTGGATTCCAAAGGAGGATTATCGTATCGCTCCTCTCCCTCCCTGTCCTACACGACCAATCACCAGTCGGCAAAAATGTTACACAATCCTCGGAGATTGGACAGGAGGACGGTTCACATGCTGCCTGAATGCTACCTACACTTTAACGGGAGCTAAGGGACGACGGGCACATCAGCACAATCAGCATGCATGCTGCTGATCTCAAGTGAGGGTCGGCAGCTTTCCGATACGGCTAAGCTGACCAATGAATGAGAATGAGTTTTTAACCCATTCCGTAAATGCCATGTCGTAAATGCATGAGAACTGGCCAAGAAAAAGGCAAAGAGCAAGCCAGGTGTTGTTTGCTTATTGTGGGAACATCTCCGAACGTGGCTGGCGGCTGAAAATTCTCAGCCGTTTGGTCTTTGTTCTTTATAAGTATGGTCACCCACGACTCGTCCTCCTCCTCCTGCTTGGATTGAAAGATACTTTGTGCCGGTGTTACACACCCTTTTTTTTTTTTTTTTTTTTTTTGGTACTCGGTTTTGAACTTGATATTTGATTATCATGGCAGAAGAGAAGAAATTTAGTGTCATTGTTGTCGGTGCTGGTCCTGTTGGGCTGACAGCAGCTCATGCTCTCTCAAGAGCCGGCATCGACTTCACCATCCTTGAAAAGCGAGAAACCATTGAAGAAGATATCGGAGCCACCGTCATTCTCATGCCTCATGGCATTCGTGTTTTTGCCCAACTCGGTCTGGAAGAGAAGCTGCGAGCTGTGGGCACCGATTTCAAGAACGCCGCGTTTCAAACTCATACAGAGGGAAAGGTTATAAACCGCACTTGTATGCCGCAGAAATTCAAGGACAAGTACGAACCACAAGCGCCCAATTTATCTGCCCGTGCCTCAAGAGGCATATTAGCTGACGGTGACCTCATCCAAAATCCAGCTTCGGCACATACGCCCTCGTCTTCGCGAGAGCCACTTTTGTGTCTATACTCTACGCCTCTCTGCCCCCATCCTACCAGTCCCGAATCCTCCCAAACAAAAGGGTCACCTCCATCACTACCAATCCTGAGTCCAAAGACCCCTCAAAGCGAGTGACAGTCACATGTTCCGACGGAACCACCTACTCGGCAACAATTATCATAGGCGCCGATGGCATCCATAGCCAGGCCCGACAAGCCATGCATATCAAGAACCCCGAACCTTCCGCTTTCCAAGCCAACTACCGCGTCATGTGGTTTGCCTTCCCCCGTCCCGACGGCGTGCCCGCAACATCGGGCTTCGAGTCCCACGGTCAGGATTGGGCCTGCCACTGTCTAAACACGGGACCGGTTTCCTTCTTCCTCGTTTACCAACGCATCCCCGCTCACCTCAACCCTCCCATGACAGGATACGTAAAGTATACCGAAGAGGACATCGAGTCCTTTGCAAAGGAGTGCGGAAACGCTCCGGTAGGGGAGTCAGGTCTGAGGCTGAGGGACGTCTGGGACAAGAAGCTTCGTCCCGCGGGGATGGCTAATCTTGACGAGGGCGTCCTAAAGCGATGGAGCTGCGGTGGCGGCAAGATTGTGCTGGCTGGTGATGCCGCGCACAAGATCACTCCAAACCAGGGGTTCGGATTGAATGATGGGATTATTGACATTGTGGGATTGACTAATGAGTTGAGGAGGGCTTTGCAGGAGACACCTGCAGGAGATGGCTCAGAAGATGGCTCAGAAGATGGCTCAGAAGATGGCTCAGAAGATGGCTCGGGAGCGCCGAGTGAGAAGGCACTGCAAGAGGCGTTTGACAGGTATCAAAAGTTGAGAGAAGCGTGGGCGATCAAGAATATGCAAACTTCAAATTTTGGCATACAGTTGGGGACTTGGAAGAGTAAGCTGCTCTGGAGGGTGGTCACGGGCGTGTTAAAGATTCCTGGGTTAGACCCGCTCATGATTGATAAGCTGTATAATCCGCTTTTTGCAGAGTCCGGGTTGGTGTTTGAGTTTATTGAGAGGGAGGAGGAGCCGTTTGTGGGCAAGGTGCCCTGGAAGATTGCTATGCCAAAAACGGGGAAATGCTGAGAGATAATAGTGGTATCAGGAAGCAGATGAGATTGAGGATTAAGTCACATACATGTTTGGGTGTTGCGATGCGACGGATACTTTGTAATTTACCCCTTGAATGTTTGTCGGCGTGCAGCCTCGTGGTCAGAAGTACGCGCCTTACAGCCTTTCTCAAAGTTAACTGTCATTTTGAAGAAGCGTCACGGGAGAGCCCATTAAATGCCGGGGAAATTTGAACCACGCCAGGAGAAAAAAAAAAAAAAAGGTTCTAAGGGGCATTGTATAAGGCAGTGTTAACTTCGAGGGAAGAGATCATTTGAATATCTCGCCATGGTCACAGTTGCCCATTTTATTTGCCGGCTCGTTCCCTTGAGCGCACTTTTCATTGCCACCGATGAGCCATTAATTATTCAACAAAACGGGGGATAGTGCCATTGCGAGAGTCGCGTATAGCTTCAGGGATATGAATGAAAAGCAGTATTTAAATACCCGTGCTTTATAGAGGTAAAACTTGATCCTTGCTCAATGATAATGATCCACAAGGCCCGTGTGGCGCAATTGGTTAGCGCGTCAGACTTTTAAGACAATAGAAGTCAATCTGAATGTTGCGAGTTCGAGTCTCGCCATGGGCGATATTTTTTGGGTGGTCTCCACCCACTTTGTATCTCCAATACCTTTGTCTTTTTTTGGCGCTCAGTTGCTTCATTTTAGATGACGACAATCAACGAGCTCTTGGTCATGATAAGGTAGCAATGTTCCTGAATTCTCTTCACAACTGTCCCCCAAACAGGACTATGTCGGATGATATTGCTGTTGAATTGAAACTTGCGGACACGATGTCTCGAGAGACTGCATGAAGCTATTCCCAAAAGTTCGGCACTCATCCTTCAATCTTGGTCAAACCCAACTCTCATGCCGAATCTTGCTAAGATCTTCAAAGTCGCCCAATCAAAACGAGGGCAAGCCCAATAAGGAACAAAGATCGACGGATTCGACAGCTCTAGGGGGTTATAACGCCATCGGGGGCGCACAACCCTCATGAATTGAGCCTACCCCCACGATCACGACATGCTCAGATCTGGCCCTGAAATTTGGAAAGGTCTGGTTTCGTCCCTTGGTCGCTGCTTCCCATCTCGGTGCTCGGCTAAATATTAGCGAGCTCGATTGGGATCGGTCTTTTAACCTTGGCGATCGGCAAGCACGTTTCTCAGCCAGGCATCCCGATTTGGACTGAACTGTTGCCCGAATGCTTTTACCGACTTCTTTTTCCCACTGAAACTCAATTCGTTCGGCAAGCTTGCCGGGCGATCACCTGTGAGCCCCTGACAGTACAACTAAGACGGTGAGACATGCAACCACCACCAGAGCCCACGTTCTCGGCCATCTTCCCCGGCTCGGTGATCACCAGACACACGTTTGTCAACAACAGAGATTTTCGGGGTTGATCGCTGCCATCCCCAGTTAGACTCGTTCGGCTTGTTCAAAAACCGTGTGCATCTCGACCATCAACACTGGCTTCAGCTTTGACCACGCTCGTGGGGGTATTAGGCCTTGACACGAAGAAAGCATTCATCACGGCTTCAGATGTCTCTATGGCATCATGGTGCTCACGAAGCACGACAACTTGACTATTGACGAAGAGGATAGTGATGATGGTGATCAGAGGACGCTGCTCGAACTGGATATCAGTGTATAAGTATCACAATAAATCTGCTCAAACATTCTCACTTTTTGCTTCCAGGCTCAGATCATAATCATCATCATCATCAAACATTTTTATCCACTCTCTCGAATCTTCCACTACCCGCCTTATTCACCAAGAAGTAGACGAAATGCGTTCCAGTCTTGTGGGTTTCGCCCTCCTGGGCCACTTTGTCTCGCATTTGGCCTCTGCCTCCCCTGCGGTCTCGGGAGGTACCGAGAAGCGCAATCCCCTCGGACTTAGCCTTCCCCCTCTGATTCCGCTCATCCCTGGAGTCACTGAGCCACTTTCCGAGAACGCCATCCCGCTCCCCATCCTCCAACTTCCTACTCCCCCGCTTCCAAGCCAGCCGTTTGAGCTTGTCAATGTCAGGCCCAAGAAGATCGGCTACTTCTGGACTGGTGCTGGCGACAACAAGCACAAGGACTTTTTGGCGACAGTGTCTCTTGACGACGATACTTTCGGCTCGATCATCGCTTTGACTGACGTGCCCACATCAGGGAACTCGCCTCACCATCTTGGAGCATCCCTCGATGGCAAGGCGCTCGTTGGAGGAGGCTTGCTGAGCCTCCTCAAGACGCAGGATACCGCATTCTACTTTGACACGAGCAACCCTTACAGCCCCAAATTCTCTCACAGCAACCGTGCTCTTCTGAGCTCCATCGTTGATGAGATACGTGCTAAGCCGGGTGGGGGCTGGTATATTACCTATATGGGCTCCGCAGTGGGCACTTCTCCTGGCCGCCTGGTTGAGACTGATGCCAAGGGCAACATCATCCACGAATGGCCCGAAGATGTCCAGAGCACGCTCAATATTTTGGGCGAGCAATTCTCTCCCCATGGTCTCGCTGTCGACTTTGATAAGAAGATTGCTTTGACTTCCGATTTCGTGGTTCCCCTGACCGTTCTCAAACCTACCCTCGGCATCCAACGTGCCAACACCCTCCGTCTTTTCGATCTCAACACCCACAAGATTCTCTCCACCATCACCATCCCCAACGGCCAGGGTATTCAAGACGTCAAGTTCATTCCAGGCAACAAGGAGACCGCCGCTCTCGCCACAGCTGTCGGGCTTGGACAAGTCTGGGTCATCTACCCCTTCCGCCGTAATCCCAATGGCAAGCAAGGTGTTGCAGAGCTGCTTTTTGACTTGGGCCCCAAGGCAAAGGACTCAATGGCCATCTACTCGGATATCTCTGACGACGGCAAGCTCGCCTATTTCACCTTCACCCTTGGTAACCACGTTGCGGCTTTGGATATCTCGGATCTGAAGAACCCCAAGCGTCTCGACGATCCCAACGAGGAACAGCCCATCATCGGTCCTCACTACGTCAAGATCTCTCCCGACAAGAAGAACTTGCTCGTCACGGGATACTTTGTGCAAGCGGGTGATATCAGTGTGCTCAACACTCCTGGCGACTATAAGGCTCACTGGATTGATATCCTCCCCAACGGCGGCTTGAGCTTCAACAGGACTGTTGACTTTGAAAGGATTTTCACTAAGACTAGGGGCGGCGCGAGACCTCATTCTGCTGTTATTTTTGACTTGACCGATCCTGCTAATCCCAAGTACTACTAAAGTACCGGTGTTGCTCTTCGCGGTGTGGCCATGTGAGCGGGCATGTAATGATGGGGGGATTATGAGAATAAATGCAATGCATGTAATGAGAGGGGGCATGGTTGAGAATATGGGGTTTAGTGCACATAATGCTCGGTATTTAGTCTAGGTTGTTTGTTCGCTTCTTGTTGACAGTATTCCTGTTACCCGCATACCTGTCGGTTTAAAGTTGATTGTTCATTGAACATGAATAGTTTAGTTCGTAGTGATAATAAGGGGTTCAAGCCACGGTTGAACACAGCAGTGGGAAATTTATGTGGGTAGACTAGGTAACTACCCCCTATGTATACCTAGTGACCCAAAAGTTTTGCAAGACCTACTTAAACTGCATGACAACGTGAAACTGCGTGATAAGGCTAAACTATATATTGTTATTATTATTATTTATTCATACTGCCGATGTGCCTATCTGTTACGCACTGGGCGCAATGCACCCCGTGCACGGGCTGCAGGACAGCCCCATATAAACAAGACCAATCATTGGGCCAGGGATGGGAAGACCTACCGAAGTCCTACGCCACCAATCAGAGAGTACCGGTGTGCTCGACGTGCTCAGTGAGCCTTATTGGTCTAGACCACTGAGCATACTAAGCACGAGAAGGTGCTTAGCGCGCTTAGCGTGCTTAGTCGACTTAGGTCACTGAGCATACTAAGCATACTAAGCAAGGTATAAGATATTTGGAATAATATATGTAGATAGTTCTCTATAAGTAGGGAGAGTGCCGGGCATTCTCCGTCCTGAGGATCTTGGTTCCTTAAGCAAGCAATACTATATTTATTGTCTATAATCTATTTATAATAGCTCTTTGTTAGAATAATCTATTATTGATAGTAATATATTGTCTGAGACGCTTATTACGATATTACGGATTAACTTAAATACGGAGGGACGTGCAGGAAACGTCCTAGCTAATTATTGGGCTAGGGATAAGATGACCCATAAAGCCCCGGAAATAACCAATCAAGAGAGACTCGAAGGACTCGAGCTTCGAGTCCATTGAGTCGAGCAAATCCATAGATTCGATAGACTTGAGGGTCAAGTCCGTCGAATCTAATACAAAATACCTCAGAAAATATATAGATAGCTTCCTATAAGTAAGGAAAGTATTAGGCACTCTCCATCCCGAGGAATCTAGTTCTTTAAATAAGCAATACCATATTCATTGTCTATAATCTATTTATAATAACTTTTTATTAGAATAACCTATTATTAATAATAATATACTATTTAAGACGCTTATTACGACCTTCGATCCCTCTATTAATACCTAGTAAATATATTATTTACTTCCCTTAATCGAACGTTATACTCAGATATACCGGCATTATGGCCACCCCTAGCATTAATCCTTCCGTTAGAACTAATAACCGACCCGGTAATAACGATACTTCCTTCGGCAATGCCCTCGAAGCCGCCATATCCCTTTAAGCTAAAAAGGATAATAATAAAGATAGCGATAAGGATTTCAACCTAGAGAAAATCACTAAAGAAATCAAAGAGGTTAATAAAAAGCCTACTTTCCTCGGAAAGAACTCTACTAATAAGGACGACTTTAAGGAAATTATAAGTTAGCTTTAGGATTTCTAAAATACCATTAGGGATATTCGGCCCTTTTTCGATAATATTCCGAAGATAGCTACTAAGGTTAGCAAGCCCCTTATCTTCTTAGGTAATAAATAGGAATTCTTACTTTAGTTATTTTATATTTAAACTAATCTTCGTTTATATAATATTAAGGAACCTAAACCTTAGCTCTTTTTCGCCGCTAGCTATCTCGGAAAAGACCTTATATTATAGTTTAACGGAATCCTCTATAACCATTTCGAGTACGTAAAGATTAAGTAGGATCCCCTTATGTATTAGATATTTTAGGTCAGAATATTAAAGTTCGAAGAAGAGATATAGAAGATATATAGGGAATCCGACGAGAAAAAAGCAATTAAAGATCGTCTCGAAAAGCTTAGATAGATAACCTTAGCCTTAATATACGTAATTTTATTCCGGAGAAATGCTTTCCGAATTAATTAGGCAGATATAGCCCTAAAGAATAAGTTCTACCGAGGATTAAAGCCTAAAGTTAAAGACGAACTTATTAAAAAGGATTAATATGCCTTAAAATTAGATAAATATATTAATAAAGCTATTATTATCGATAATCGAATCTTCGAACGTATAATAAAAGATAAAGGAATTTATCGGAATTCCTAAGCTCTTAAAGCAAATACTTTTAAGAGATATAACCATTTAAGTACGGCTTACGGTACCTATGTAGGCCCTATAGATATAAAAGCCGCTCAAAAATATCAGGGGA